ACCCAACACACAACACACAACACCCAACACCCAACACCCAACACACAACACACAACACACAACACCCAACACCCAACACCCAACACCCAACACCCATTACCCAACACCTAACATCCAACACCCAGCACCCAGCACCCAACACACAACAAACAACGCACAACACACATCACACACACCACAACACACAGCACACAGCACACAACACACAACACACACCAGACAACACACAACACACAAAACCCAACACACAGCACATAGCATTCAGCACACAACACACATTACTCACCACACAACACACAAAACACAAAACACACAACACACAACACTCAACACACAACACACAGCACAGAACACACAACACACAGCACCCAAAACACAACATTCAACACACAACACGCAACACGCAACACTCAACACTTCAACACACAAAACACAGAACACAACACACAACTCACAACACACAACACACAACACACACCACACACCACACACCACACAGCACACACCACCTTAGTGGGCCCTGGAAACGACAGGGCAGTTTTTTCACCGGGTCCGTTTTGCAATTTTTTTGCAGGTTCCGACGCCGTTTTTTTACCGTCTCCGTCGCCGTTTTTTAACCGGTTCCGGCTCTGGTTCCAATCCTGGAGCCGTTTTCTTAACGTTTCTGGTCGCCGTTTTCCATTTTCAGGGGACATTTTTTCAGAAACGGTGGCGAGAACGGCCCTGCCGTTTCTGGGGTCCACAAAGCACACCACAAACCACACGCACCATACATCACAGAACACAATCCACACAACACACAGCACACAACACACAACACACAACACACACCACCCAACACTCAACACCCAGCACACAACACACAACACACAACACACAACACACAACACACACCACAACACACACAACACACAACACACAACACACAACACACAACACCCAAAACACAACACACAACACACAACACGCAACACACAACACACAACACATTGCACACAACACAGAACACGCACCATGCAACACACAACACGCAGCAAACAACACACAATACACAACACACAACACATAAGACACAACACACAACACACAACAC